GAACAGTCCTGCAAAGTATTAGTTCAACATTCCTCCCTCAAAATTCTAGGTTTTAGTGGTTAGAGAGTCTCTGTAAAGCCATTAATTGTGTTCACTAGCAATAAATGTTGCAACTAGTTGTGTTAGAATACCAAGTGAATCAATGATTAAATGTCATCTTCCATTTTTATGTTTTTTATCCATACTCATTTTCAAATGTACCCCTTCAGCCATCTGTACAGATTCCAGAATTTTTGGAATAGGACAAGGTATCAATCAAAATTAATATTAGATAGCTAACAAGCTATCATGGAAACCTAATATGTATATCAATTAAAAATGTTTTTGTCAAGAAGTTGGCAATAAAGTTGCCTGTAAAATAATAAAAAAGATAAAATCATTTTTCTATAAGAAGTATGGGAAATTTATTCTGTTTTGTTTTGTAAAAGCTTCATATATCTGACTTACCAAAAGAAAATAATTTATTGTACCAAAGAATATTTGCATGAGAGAAGAATTTCCAGAACCAATAATTTTGTCCCATCTGTGCTCTGTGTTCAGACCATTGGACTCTGTTGTAGTGTTTTCACAAAAAGAAGTAGCATTTGTCCCCTTTTCCAACTTCTGCATTATTAGGGTGTCTTTACCTATAACAGGGATGGGCAGCATTGGAGAGATTAGAGAGGAAAATTCAGCTTCCCAACTCAATTGTTGCTGAAAGCTATCCAATGACGTGATAACGTCATTGGATGTCCATTTTTTTCAATATTTTAATGGTGGGAATGGAAGTGAGAGGTCTCTGAGTGTCAAGCTACTCCAGTCCACCTTTAAAATATCACCAATACTTGAAAATGGCCCCAGATCACAATCCTTCCACATGATCTTTAGTTGTTTTTCAGGTTTGGAGGATTTAAGGATGGGAATGAGGGAAATCTGCCTAACAGAGGCAACCACTCCCATTCCTTCTCTTAACCCTCCCCTTGCAAATGGAAAAGTGTCCAGATCATTACTGATATCCTTAATTTGGCCATTTTGCTGCTAAGTTCATTAGCATAAGCTTGGCACGTTGAGCACATTTGGCCTACAGGCTGCCACCTCTGATCTATGTCTGATGTAAATGTGATGGAATGTGTTGTATGGGTATCCTACGGAAGTGAATAACCAATAGAAAAGAACTATACTGAAGTGGATTGGTTTTATAGAGAGAGAGAAGATCAAATTGTAAAACAAAAATATAAAGGGAAAGAAAATAGGTTGAGAGGAAGGGGAAGATAAAGGAACTTAATCTTTAGTTTAATCTTCAGTAAAAGAGGGAATAAGTTTAAAAAACAAAAGGCAATGTATGAAATGGTGGATGGACATTGTGGCAGCAAGGATGGTTTGCAAAGATAGAATGGATGGGGAGATAAATAGTGAATTACGTTGGTATAAACTAGATTTAATTACATTTTCTTTCTTCTCTCATGTATTTGTTTTGCTTACTCCTTTTGTTATTTTCTATGTGAGGTTAGTTAGTACTATTCAGTGAGTGAGCTCCAGGCAGACTGCTACTGTTAGATGTTCTCTTTGGTATTTCAGTAGTGGCTCATGGATGGTACCTCTGGTTTCCTACCCCCTTTTGCCCCCCACCACACACTTGTTTGTTTCTTATCTCTTCTTCCCCCCATCCCACTTCTGTGCTTCTCACCCTTACCACCACTGTCTTCTTCTCTCCCCCAAGTGCCTCTGCTCCAGAATGTGCTTCAGTTTGTTGAGACTGATGCCAATTGATGATACTAAGTTTACAAATGATCTGAATACTGTGTGGCATTCCAAAGACAGCAGAAGCACTTTTGAGAAGAAAAGGAACTTGGCAGTAGAGATGGTGGCAAAAATGATGTAGGAGGAAACAACAGGGGAACTTTTGAGAGGAGGAGGAGACAAGAGTGAAGGAGAGGTAAAATATTGGGAGGAAGATGTGTGCAGGGGAAAAACCTTTCAGCTGCCTAACCAGAGGCTGGCCATTAGTCCTTATTTGGATGATATGCACAGTCACAGCTGGACTAAATTAGTTAACTGAAGCCTTCAGTTTCTGATTAACGTTAAAGCAGGGAGCCTATGCTACAATCTTAGCTGTAATGTGTGAATATGCAATAAGCCTAATCTTCGTATGTTTTAGCATGTTCCATGACTGTCAGGTCAATTCTGGATGAGGTTATTCTCTCAAAGTAGTTCCTTAATTCAATCAACTTCTTCATTTTTCATCATTACCTTTCATCTCCATTACATTTATATGTTGTTATTAACATTGGTCTTTTAAGCCAAATTAGGATAGGTTTTATGATATCAGTGTTGCCTTAGGTTTGATGGTGACCCTGTTACATTTGGTTAAACTCTGACCTAGAATGTGATTGCAGAGTATGCTCATAAATTGCATGTGACTGACTATTTTTGTATTTGTTTCAAATGATAATCTAATTAGATTTGGTTATTTAAGCTTTTTGGTTATTTAAGACTACAATTTCAATATAGTCATTCATTCATTCATTCATTCATTTAGCAAATTTATATGGCTACCCATCTCACATAATGTGACTCTGGGCAGCGTACAAACACAGCAACAATTAAAACAACATAACCAATATTAAAACATTGAATATAAATAAAAATAAAAACATGAAAAAGCCAAGATTGCAGGAGAATAACAATCACCTAATATCATACCACCACCTTGCAGGCTCCCCATGAGATCCCCAAGGTTGCTGGAAAAAACACGTTTTAAGGGCTTTCCAGAAGGCTAACAGGGATGGGGTCAACCTCACTTCAGGGGGAATGATGTTTCAGAGAGCAGGAGCCACAGCAGAAAAGGCACATCTTCTGGGTCCTGAGGACAGGACCTGCAACATACCCTTCTGCTGGACCTAATGGGATGGGCAGACGTAATCGGGAAGAGATGGTCCCTCAAATAACCTGGTCCCATGCCATGTAGGGCTTTAAAGGTCAAAACCAGCACTTTGAATTGCACCCAGAAGCAGGCTGGAAGCCAGTGCAGATCACAAAGCAGAGATGTATGTGTGTCATCCTAGGGCACACATAAATGTCCACACAGCCACACTCTGCACCATTTGAAGCTTCCGGATGCTCTTCAAGAGAAGCCCCCTGTAGAACGTGTCACAGTAATCCACCAGGGCATGAGTAACTGTGAGTAGAGCATCATGGTCCAGGAAAGGGCACAACTAGTGCACAACAGAAATCTCTGCAAAGGCCCTCCTGAATCCTAACTGGAAGGGGTCCAGATAATCTGCTTCATCCAGGGCCTGCTGAAGCTGTTGTGCAACCACCTTCTCCACAACCTTCCCTAAAAAAGGGAGGTTAGATACTGGATGAAAATTGTCCAATATGGTGGGATCCAGTAATGGCTTCTTGAGGAAGGGGTGAACCAATGCCTCCTTAAGGGGAAGCGGAACAACCCTCTCTCTCAAAGAGGAATTAACCACTGCTAGAACCCAACCACACAACATCCCCCAGGCAGCCTTAACTAGCCAGGAGGGGCATGGATCTAAGAAGCAGGTGGCTGAACTCACAGTCATAAGGACCCTGTCCACTTCCTCAGGCCCAACAGGTTCAAACCATTCCCAGATAACC